GATAATTGTAGGAAAATTGGCTTAATCCAGTCCTTAGCTACCGTATATTGGCTCTCCATAAATGTAGGAAGAGGATTTTTGTCCAATCACTGCAGCTGTCAAATATTGAACGTCCAATGGTGGGACACTAGCTAATTTACTATTGGGCGAGGAACTAGAGGCGCACACTAGCGCCATCTAGTGGTCAAAATATGGTAAGACCCCAACATCGTTACTATGGAATAGTTTAAGTCATCATTCAATGTATCTGAGTTCGGCAGTTAGTGACTAAACATACGATTGAATACTTATTTCGATTAGTTATAATTATTATCAAGATCCATCAAATTCTAAACAGATAAATTTAATTGGATTGTCTGTTGGTAATATTAAAAATAATCGCATTTTACTACATACATATGAATATACATACGATAGACATACCAAAATAACATTTTTTACACATTTTGTCTGTCTGTCTGTTTGTGCTGGCTAATCTCTGGAATGGCTGGACCGACTTTGACGGAACCTTTATTGGCAGGCAAGGAGTAACATAGCTTTGTTATCTTCTATCAATCGATTCTGTAATAAATATCACATTGAAATGATTCCAATATTGGTTATCTTCAGTAAAATTAGTTTAGTAATTAATAAACGCCATAAAAACAAAGACAGTTGATATTCGAGACCAGAAACTGAACAAACGCAGTGTCTACGTCGACTATTCAAATGGAATCAGTCAACTAGTTGAAAATCATCAGTCGAACTGTCGTACTCAGAGATATTTAACAACTACTTAAACTATTCCTTAGTAACGATTTTGTTTCGAAAACAATCGCTAAGGACTGGGTTAAGTAGCCATTAAATGACTCTGAGTACGGCGAATAGACACTTACCAACAACTAAGATATTGCACATTCAATAATAATACAAAAAAGAAAAACAATTTGTTCGATATAATACTGTTTCTAACAAAAATACTTTGGATTTACAATAGCTGCCGAAACTTAACTGTGTAAAAATATTTAGCGATCAACGCCATCTATTATTATAAAAATAAAACAATTATTTCGGGTTGCCGATACTAGATGGCGGTAGAAAATAATACTCCGTTATATTTGTGACAAATATTATACACTGTTTCTTTATACGTGTTATTTATTATGTCTAGTATACTACATTGTGTTTAGCGATTATTTTAGCACAGGTTTGTGCTATCTACTCGTCTTCATAGTCTACTAAGCCTAGAGCTTTTACATACAAATAGCCTGCTAATAACTATAATTCTGTTCGATACACAACTATAACATGTTGATTTATAAAATCAAAAATTATACTTGACGACACTTTTAAAAAATCACTAAAAATCGTTACACAACACTCTCTTATACATTCGAGAATAATTCGAGAAATCATACAAATTATCACAAGGCAATGGTTGCAGACTTCTACTTTTATTATTATTATGTATAAATAGTGACAATTGTCCACACAAGGCCACTGCTATTAACTTTAGTTACTATATAATATTCACATCCTTTATTAGGTACATACATTTTACAATATTATTTATACTTAGACCAAGATCAATGTGAAATAAGAAACAAACCATAAGTGTAGAACAACGTCGAGGTTACCATGTTGTCGAACACCAAATGGCAGTACTGTAGCAAGAAGTCAGTTTATCCAATCGTTGTAGCTGTCTCAAATTGAATGACCATTTGTGTGGCACTAACTAATCACTTATTGGGTGAAAAGACGAGAGGTTCACGCTAGATACTAGTTCCATCTGGCGTTCTTTTCCACGTGCCATCACACCCACCCTCTTACCCACTCTATTTACTGACTGTTTTTGAGTGATAGTTAAAGAATAGGACTTAATAGAAGCATATAAAAGTGCTATTTATTGCGGACATATGTGGTTTATTAACAAAAAAATCACATTGATCTTGATTCAATTGTTGTTAAAGATACAATACTACATACTGGAGAGATCTTACATTACATTAGATGCACACAGAGCGACATTAGAGTCAATAAAGTACATATTTTTGGCATAAAAATACCAGATATTAAAATAATGTGATGTTTCAATGACTTTTACAGCTGTCACTCGTATCTACAGTGCTGCCATCTATGTTAAATAGTTACAAATGCTGTAATAAAAGGTTTTTAATAAGTAAAAATTATAAAAAATGGAAGTTTGGTTACATTATGTAGGTACACAGGTTTACAATTAATTCTATAATGTTTTTACTACACTTTGGCGTTTAGTATTATATTTGGTTTAGACCTCAGAAAAAACTAGTAAATAAAAACAGTTTTTTCTTGACCTTAGGTATTTTGTTTCTTGAAATATATACCTTAATAATGATATAATCATCAGAGCCATGTTAGTTTCGTAATACTTAAGATTTAGCCACCAGTAAGGTATGTATAAATTGGGTACTTGCCAAATTAGGTACAAGACTTGTCAAATTCAATACTTTTGTCAAACTGGCAAAAACGACAGTTTTCTATGAATTTTGTTTAATATTGTGTATTGTGACGTCACAGTTTTTTAGCGTCAAACAACATAGTTATTTGTTTAAAAATATGCTGGAAAAAAACTAAAATGAAGTTGGTCATAAAATCAATTAATGAAAGTGTGATTATTTTTTAATATTGTGTTGTATTGAACAGTCGAAATAATTTATTTTGGATGAAATTACCCAATTGTAAAGCAAGATACATTAAATATAAGTTTAATGTCTAGACTAGTTGCACTCACTAGATGGCGGTATTACAGAATAATGTTTTCTGCTAGTTAGGCCTCACTGGACATAAATACAAGTTCAAAAGTACGGTACAATTATGAGTGTAGACATCACAAATGATATTGTAATATTTCGTGTCTTTCATAAGTTTATCTATCCTGGTTAATATAATATTATTCCATTTGAGAATCAATAATAATTTTGGTATAAACAAAATTGGAGTATTTCATTTTTTTTTTATTTATTATGCTTTATGTTTACGTTAAATATAAAAACCTGTCCCATCGTTTTAAAATTATAAATAGTGTTACCATCATGATTTTGCGTTCATATTTAAAAGTCAAAAAGTCAACTGCTAAAAAGAGGCGACGCTATACATTCACTATAGCTCTCTCTTTCACACGCCTCAATCAATATAAAATATAGTTCCTCGTATCTGTATATGAGTAAATGTAACTACAACTAGTATATAATATATACAATTATATGACTGAGATTCTATTCTATATAATATAATGTATATTAATATTCACATGGTAGAAGCTGCCTATAATTATAATGCGACATTATTATATAACCTGTCTCAATACTTTTTAATATTTATGAAAACCTATGTATGACTAACCGCCGTACTTAAGTTATTGAATGGCGACTTAACCCAGTACTTAGTAATAGGGTAGATGACTAATTTATATTTTAATGTCCGTCTGGTAGATTATTTAAAAACATTAGACACGTATTTTTTATTTCCTTACGGAAACGAATAGTTTCGAAGATATAGTGATTTGAAATATGGCATGACGTCACTTTTGAGTACGATTTAAACTCTAAAATGACGTAGCTACCTCCCACTCGTAAACTTTGATTCGTTTTATCTAAGTACTGTATTCTTATAAGACAGAATAGATAAATACGTGTCTAATATTTTTTTATTACCTAACTGACGGACTAATTAGATTTTTAATTTTCATACCCTGTCATCATCCATAGGGATGTTGTCGAAACAAAATCGTTACTAAGGAATAGTTTAAGTAATCATTCAATGTCTCCGAGTACGACAGTTCATCGTTAGAGTTTTCATAGGTCAGACGTCAGATCTAAAAGTCAGACCAATGACTAAATACATTATCAATCAGTGTTCAGATCATATATATATCATATCAATGGTTCAGGCCCTATAATTTTAGTTCTGATAGTGTCATAAGACCTTTTTTCTTTTAAAAAGGACGTCAGACTTTAGATTCTAATTAAGTCTGGTTAGATTTCCAATAATAAATGAGTTCAACGTTCAGATCTTAGATAGATGTTATGTCAGACACTAGATCTATATTCTGACATCTGACATCTGAATAGGCCGTAGATATGTCATAAGTTCTGACATATTTGTTCTTCTCAGGGATAGGCAGAGTTAGGATAAAACATTTTGCCAGTTTATATTATTTATCACTTTATAGTAATCAATATAAGTTTTATAATTCTTTGCAAATATAAATATTTTCTTTATCCCTATGGTTTTTGTAAAAATTAATAATATAATATTTTCTGTTTCTTTGGTAGACCTTTTAAAATAAAATATTGCACAAAGATATACTATATTGCACATAGACTTAAAGTATGTCCTAAAGTTGCTTTCTCTAAACTGATCCCCAAGCAAATTGCAAAGCGTGGGGATCATGGTGTTTGTTCGTTTTAAGAAAATGGCCTTTGTTCGTTAGTGGAAGCATTTCTGCTGATATTTTTAATGTAAAGCTTAGCCAGATAGACGGATCACCTGATGGTGAGTAATCAGCGCTGCTCGTGGACACCCGCAACACTAGAGGAGTCACTAATGCGTTGCCTAATGATTTAAATCACACTAATATTATAGACGTGATAGTTTCTTTGTTTGGATGTTTGTCCTTCAATCACGCTGAAGCTAATGAACGGATTTAGATGAAATTAGGTATACAGGCAGAGTATGGGCTGACTTAGGTGATAGAATACTTTTATCCCGATTAAATGCTTCCATATAGGATAAAACAGGAATCATATTCCACGTGAATGACGTCGCTGGCAACAGCTAGTGTAGTATTATATTGTATGTAAGTTGTCAGTCACTTACCGTCGTACTCAAGAGTCATTGAATGGCTACTTAACCCAGCCTTCAGCAATTGTTGTCGGAACAAAATAAATACTAAGGAATAGTTTAAGTAGTAATTCAATGTCTCTGAGTACAGATGTAAGTACTCAAGCAATGTGTCACTCACTCGGTGTGAGTATGACTGCCTAGTGAGTGGGGTTCTCTTCATCATCAGTGCGTAGTGCCACCATGTCGGGCAGCTTGAAGTGCTGCATGTGGAACGGAGGTTCGGGGCTGCTACACGGACGAGATGGCTGAGGGGAGGAAAGATAACCGTAATAAGTAATTACGTTTTGTTTAATATACATATACAAGGTGTAGTTTTGAAACCGTGTCATTTCTCGGGGACATGTCACAGAAGTCATAAAGGTTCAATGTAAGAGAAAATTTTGGGCCAATATTTAAAAATACGGCTATAATAAATCGTTTAAGTTGGACAGTATTTCAGAATAAGCGACAGCAATGCTTCTTATTGGAGTTTTATGGAATTAGGAATAATATCAATTACGTGTTTGAGTTTGTGTGTGTTAAGCCGCGTTATAACGCTAGTTACAAGACGGCGGCGTGTACTTCGCACTTACGGATTTCCGTAATTTCAGAAAAATGAAAAATATTTACCTACAATTTTTTTTATTGATTCGGTCTCAGAATCGATATCAGAGTTACGTCCTAGAAAATGACGCGGCTTTAAAACAACACCTTGTATTTATGTTAAGTAATAATAATAATTTCGCTATAATTTCACGATTCCATATTAACACAGTTTCATAGGTCGAGACACCAAGCTATTGACGTTTGACAGTCGTCAGTTAAGTATTTTTTTTTTTAATGGGACAAGCCCGCCACAACCTCCCAAAACCGCTGCAACTCCTGTGCGCCAGGATCTACAGTAGATACAACCATGAAAACACCGGAACACTGAAGTCCGGCGCGTCCCAGGGACATGAGTAACTGTCTTGGTTCCCGCAACGAAGTGAATCAGAAGATATTATAAGAGGAGAAGAAGAAGAAGTTTAAGTTATTCCAGTTAAGTATTTTATAAATGTCGCAACACCAGGCTGCCAGAGTGCATATGTTATTGTAGGTTGCACTACGCCTGCATCCTTACTAATATTATAAATCGGAAAGTGAATTTGTTTGTTTGTTTGTTCCACTTTGTGAATTTGTTTGTTCGGGCCGTAACTACTAAACCGATTGCATTGAATTTTTGCACACGTAAAGTTAGAAGTCTGGATCAAATAATAGGCTACTTTTTATCCCGGAAAAATTTGATATTCTCGAGGGAAAACGAAATTATTGGTATAGATGGCGCTGTGTGTATTGGTATATGTCACATAGGCTTTATCCTTTTGTGACGCGAGCGAAGCCGCGGGTAAAAGCTAGTATTATTATAAAACAAAAACACCCATTATATTCATATTTACCTGCGTACTACGTCCTCGTCTGCGTCGCGGTAGAATACCTTTCCGCGCCATGAAGAATCTGAAATGAAATCAAAGCGAAATTGTGTCATGGTCGAGTGATTACAAAACAAAAGAGTTCTGCTAACATTCCTGATTGGGACAGGACAAAGGATTGGAGCTGTAGGCTTCAACAATATCGCGGACCTTTGGGGCCACGGGTGCGTAGAGTGGGGACTCTAGGTGCCCACCTTGTGGTCTCAGGGAAGACGGTGGCACAGTGGTCACGTGCTGCCGTAGACAGCAAGGCTTAAAGGAGACACCCGTCTCCCAAGGGATGTGTCGTAACAGGCGTTGCACCGTGGAGGCGCCGGAGCAGGTCTCTTATAGAGGACCCGGTGCCTCCATTCAGGTGTTGAGGGTGGCCACCGGGGTGGTTTTAGTGAGGTAAAAATCCCACACTCCCTAGTCTTTTATCCCCAAAAAGGCTGGGCGCCTTTTGAAGGTTTCCCCCCGTCATCAAAAAAAAAAAAAAAAGGCTTCAACAATATCATCTAAAAGCTCGGTCATGTTGCACTGGCACAGATTCCCAAATAAGTCTTTTACATTAATAGATAACTACAATTCGATAATTTTTTCATTAATAAATTCAACCTATACCTGAAGGGGTAGGCACAGGTGCACATTACGGCACTTAATGCCACTGTACAATGTAACACCCACTTTTCACTATTTATGTTATGAATCCCATGTAATAGGGGGTGAGCCTATTGCCATATACCGGGCACATTTTCCAACTCCGTGCTACTACTGAGATTTGTTTTAAGAACCCGCTAATACTTTGCCCCACCTGGGAATCGAACCCGAGACCCCTTGCCTGGTAGTCGCGTTTGCGACCATTTACTAAAAAACCTACAAATGTCAACATAAATGAAAATGATACTAACCGTATAGTAGATATAGGTATATTGAACTGCTCCGACACAGTCTGGAAGGTGAGGCCCCGACTGACGCAGTCCGCGGCCTGCCGCAGCACTACCTCGCTGCGGCGGATGCGCTTGTTCAGGCTCAGCTCCACTGGCTGCGGGGCGCACTGTAGCGACATCTCTTGGCCCTGTAGACAATTATGGTTGTTGAAATGACAGAGCTGATGATGATGAAGATAGTGATGTGGATTATGATAACGGCTGAATTTTTTTTTATGGAATAGGAGGTAAACGAGCAGACGGATCACCTGATGGTAAATGATCAGCGCCGCCCATGGACATGGACACCCGCAACACCAGAGGAGTCACAGGTGCGTTGCCGGCCATTTAAAAAGGAATACGCTTTTTTTTAAAGGTTTGAAGGTCGTATCGGTTCGGAAATACCGCCGACGACAGATCATTCCACAGTTTTGCTGTGCGAGGCAGGAAGCTACGTGAGAAGCGCACAGTTGTGGTCTGCTTACTACCTATATGATGGGGATGCATATGCTGTCGTGAGGGTCAATGGCGAAAAGATGCGGCAGGTCAAACAATTCCTTAGAGCACTACTTGTGGTATAAGCGTTAGAAAATGCACAACGAGGCTACATCTCTACGCATTACCAAAGTGTCTAGCCGGTTTGAAACATCCCGACATCCAACAATCTGAACGGCACACCGCTGAACGGTGTCGAGAGGAAGAAGCTGATACTGGGGTGCCTCCACCGAAAGATGAGAACAGTTTTCCATGTTGGGCCAAACCTGCGCCTTATATTGAAGCAAGCGGTGGGTCGGGGTGAAATACTGCCTCGATCTATTGAGCACACCAAGCTACCTCGAGGAATTAATAACGATGGCTCTGATAAAGACAGTAATGATAGAAATGATGCCAATGTCTGCAGAGTTAATGAAGATGATTTACGTTGGTGTTGATAAATGTAAGCTGTAGTTGTTGCAAAATTGATGAATCAAATAAATAATTGTTCTTTTTTGTTGTGGGATTGGGTGGTCAACGACCTAATATATCACCTGATGGTAAGCAATCAGCGCCACCCACGGACACTCGCTACACAGAGGAGTTACAAATGTGTTGCCGATCTTTTGGTAATCTCATTCACATGGCGAAACATAACAAGCGTTGCTCTGTATGGGAATATAAGCTATGGCATTCAGGAGCCGGTTTACCAGGCATTACGCCAACCGCGAACTTTTTGTTGAAGTTATGTCAGTTGATGAATAGTTAAGAGAAACAGATAAGAGATGTCGCCACGTACCTGCGCTTGGTCGCCGACGTGTATCACGTTGACGGACGCGGACGAGCCAGGTCCTATCGTCATGATCTTGGGCCGCGGCTCGCGGAAGTTCGGCGCAGTTTGTAATTGTAACGCCTGGAACAGCATCACTTAGATTAATTCAAAGTCGACTTAATTATTTTAACTAAACTATAATGTGTTATATACTTACTTCAAAAAAATTAATTTTAGACATTGCCCCACACTGGGATTTTTTCTGTGTGTCGTGGGTGCTTTTAAGAAATACACAACACACCCAGACCCGAAACAACAATTTATGGCTTACACAAAGAGTTGCTCCGGGCGGGAATTGAACACGTTGCGCGGCAGCCAGTCGCCCAGCCACCAAACCAACCGTGCAGTCATTGTCCAATTACAATGACGGTTTAGACAGTTAATTGGTTAAGAAACCTACTCGTTCAAAATTATGAATATCAGCAGATTATGTAGTAAGAAAAAAACTATACTCCACTAGCATTCTGCCTGCGACTCAATTTTCAAACGGTTTTATTTTGCTTGCCCCGTTTGTTTGTTTGGGTCTTCAGTAATTGTAATGTCCCCCCCCTTCCCGATCCGATATTTGATATTTGGTACACACTGTTAATCTTGATGACCGTACAATATAAAACCTTTTAACATAAAAATATTTTTTCTGCATTGCTTGGTTTCAAATCATTTGCCTTGTTATATTTTACTAACCAACATTTTTCTCTTATATATAATTCCAAATCTCAAGTCCAAGAACGAATGAACATAAAATGCAGAAAAAAAATCATAATAATTATAAAATTGTTTTTATATTTTTAAAAGCATGGAAAATAAACAAAGGTTGAAATTACTCACATTATTAACATGTCTAATAATGAAGGCGGGCGGCTCGTCCCTCGTGTCGTACGTGTGGTCGTCCGTCGGCCGGGCGACGGCGGCCCGCTCCGTCTCCGTGTCGGACGGACTGTCGTACTGACACTGCACGTTCGCTATCGGGAAATCTGTTGAGAGAATTGTTTTTTCCTCTTCATGGTGGAATTTATATAAATAATTGTAGGTATTTATACTTATTGTACAAGTTGTTTGATACTTACACGCCAGCTCTAATGCTGTTTACTAGAATATTGCTTATGGATCTTATTTATTTTCAAAAATGTGGCATCACGTCACAAGTCAAGTCAAAAATCATTAAAGTCAAAGATACAATAAGGGACAAATGTCCTGCGACACGTGTCGCCAGCGACGTTGGGAGAAGTACCGCGACGTTGCCGGACGCTGGTAGACAGGTCTGGCGTATATAAGTCGCGCGTTGTCTCCGTATATGTCAGGGGACATCGGCCGGCTTCGCTCAACATGTCACCAACACATGTCTAGGGACATTAAATATCTCCCAGTGTATCTTAAGCTTAATTTCAAAAACCATATACACAGATAAATTTGTATTAAACGTCAAAATAAATTAACTATAGCCTGTCAGTTGGTCCGTCGGTGAAGCTAGATCACGGATTTGCTGTTGTTTTTGCAAATATACAGATTCTCATATCATGATCATATTCTCATAACAATTTATGTAACACATGAAGTAGTAAGGTATTTTTTTTAAGGGAGGAAAATCATCGAATGATATCTCCCGCTCGGGTGAGGCGAGAGGGAGTGTCAGGCTTTTACTGACTGAAAACCACATCGTTCCTACTCCTGCACTTCAAACCGGAGCCCCGGTAACCTGTTACGTTCTCCGCGGTTTCGTATCAACATCAGCCTTATTGGGCCCAATCCGTGGTGTTCTGATGGCTCTTTGAAGCGTATGCGGAACGCTACGCACCATACGCTCGGGTGGTTCTGGTCAAGCGGCGAGCTACCCATCCGCAGGCCCGTAGGTACTTAGGGTGGTTTTAGTGTCGCGCTGACGGCACGCGTACCTTCAGCGCTAATAGGACGACATATATGAACTTCTAGGAAGCGTTTTTGAATGACGTGTAGCTATCAGCGCGCACAGTGGTTACCGCTGACCACCAAGTTCATACATTTTGGCAATCAGCGCTGACAGTCAGCGTGCGGTCAGCGCAACACTAAAACCAGCCTTACGGTGGTCGGAGATCAAATCGCGATCCCCGACGCCCGGAGTGTCCTTCACCACGGCTGAGTTGTGAGGAGGTTGTGGATCTCTCCCTCACCCGGCCCGCCTCCTCCTTAGCTAGCATGATTGCTTCGCAAAAAGAGGAGACGGAATCCCAGTCCTCCTCGCTCCGGTGAGGACCTGTGTCAGGCGGTAGGTGAGGACACCGTAGCGTCTCTCAAGCAACTACTCAAAGAGTGGACTTACCGCTGCAATGGCAGCGCGCTCAAGAAGTATTATACTTACAAGTAAGTTATGTATTTTCAAAGATATTTGATAGAAAACTATATTTCTTGCCTTCACTAAGATGATAATAACGTAGAATGGTACCATAGTTACTTTGTCTGTTAGTTTTTTTAAGAAGGGAACCCAAAAGCCACGTTGACGATTGTTTCATTAAAAGTGAGAATGATATTAAAGAAAAGGAAGTTTCTGATGTGATGATGTCTAATAGAGGAGAATGCAAATAAAGACTTGACTATGTCGACTGAATTAAATGATTACGATTAAATTAAATTAGCACAGGTAGGACGATCCCCAACCAGATGGTCTGACCAGCTCAAGGACAACCCAGCATCGCGGTTCTACACCACGTTACAAATGGCCGCAGAAAGGAGCCGATGGAGACAATTCGTCCGATTCAGAGTGATGACAAGATGATCACGACCCTGTCATAAGGGAACGGCCGGAGAGAGAGGACAGGTAGATACTATAGAAATATAACTACTTCATCAGCTTTTATCAATTTTTTTTTAACTGAAACAAAATCTAAATCTGTCTAGTAAAATATTACAGGGACAATAAAAACACGTTAAATACACGACAAAATCATTATTATTGATAATTATTATCAGAAATACAATCACCCGTAACACGTAGCTCCTACATCTGACGTACAACTCTACTACATAACATTCCCAATGAATACGCCACATTCCCAACAATGGGAAATAATTTATTAAATATTCCCATGGGAAATTATAAATTTGATTTGATAATTATAAATTAAATGAGGACAAATTATTGGGAATAGTATGTATATTTTAGTATTTTTTATTTATACCAATATAATTGGTTGGCAATATCAGACTATTATAATTAATTTGCCAATAAAACTGTAAGTAAAATTATTTCACTGTCATAAGTCTCGTTTGGTACAAAATATTTGAAATTAAATTATATCGTTAAAATATTTAGTCCAAAAGACTACGTTTTTTAAAATGACATTAAAGGAGTAGGGCGTATCCAATGGGAAATTTCCCAAAATAATAATACGGAGTTGTTATTACATCATTATAATTATAATTAGTTGGCTAACTTATAATTATTTCTTAAAATATAGTTAAGTACATCAATAGGTATACAAGTCGTACGTTATTTATTAAAATTACAATTATTTTGGCTTATTGCAACTTAAGGACGATTACTAAACAGTTTTATAAATAATGATAATTATTTGTAAATAAATTATTACTAATTAAATAATAAATTATATTGCCGCATGGTCCCGGCTAAACATAAGATTATTAGAAATGGCATAATTAAGCTAGAAATTAAGTCAGAATTCAAAAAATCTGCCTTCTTAGCGATCGACAGAGGACGTGTGTGTCGCTTTAAAGTCTTCTATGTCCTATAACTGGTCGTTTATTGAAATGGTATAGGACTACAGACCTTACGCTACATTTTTGCCGTCATCTTGTGGCAATTTGAAGCACAATAGCTTTCAGTTTAATTTTAATTTATTTAATTCCTTATATTAAACTGAAATCTCCAAGATTACTTCAATCGTAGAAATCTTCGTCTGATAAAAGCAACAGATTTTTACAATTAAATAAAATTATTATCATAATTAATTAACTAAATATTTATTCTACTAAGCCAGCTAACTATCTATATTCAGCCAAATATTACAAGCTACATTATTACGTAATTATAATTATACCTTAACACTAATTTAAATACAAAAATAGTATAATTATTCACACGTCAAAAAATTAAGTACAATCGTTTTATTTAAGTACAAATTACTACAATTATTTCAATAATTATAATCTAAAATATAATTTATTTTACTTACCAATAAGTCGTTGCTAGTGAAAAATAAAAACAATAATCAACAATTAAATAATAATTCATTAATTAATAATTAACAAACAAAAAAATTAATAATTTACTAAATATTTGGGTTTTGTATTAACACTACTTTGGCGTATATTAGGAACTAAAAATATGATTATTTTGACTTATGTAAAATTATTTTCTATTAATGTATATTGTATAATGATAATAATAATTAGTCAGTTTAGTCAGACAGTTGCAGTCGGAATAGTCGCACATATTTAAAAAAAATATTTGACTGCCTTGTTGGCCGAATGTTCGCAAGGGCAAGACTACCGGGCAAGGGGTACGATTCCCGAATCGGATAAAGTATTACTGTTTTTTTTTATTCTCAGTTGTAGCACAGAGCCTGGAACTTTGCCCGGTATATGGCAATAGGCTGTTCCCCAATTCCATGGGACTCATAACATAAATAGTGAAAAATGGGTAGTACATTATACAGTGGCATTAAGTACCGTAATGTGCACCACTGATGTTATATTTGAAAAAGAAACCTTTGTTTTATCAAATATTTCTAAACTCTCACTGTTAATATAAAGTGGGAGATAGTAAAACGACTTATATTCCCAGAAGGGTACCCACTTTTCACTATTTATGTTATGAGTCCCATGTAATAGGGGATGAGTCTATTGCCATATACCGGACATCACAGCAGACTCTGTGATACATACATACATACTACTGAGGTATTTTCGAAACACAGAAAAATCACCAATAAATAATATTTTGCTCAATAGCAAGCAAACCAAAGACTTCTCACTCGACAATCGTACTTTTTTCAATATTAGATATTAATTCTCCACGGGCTCGATGCTCTTGTCATAAATATTTTTTAGAATACGTCTAATCAATATGTGTATACAGTACTTGACAATCGTACTTGCAACCACTTAACCCGTTGAGCGTTCGCGTTCCTTATGCATTTCCTTATCCTTAAGCATGCAATAAAATGCATTTATTTGGCCATTGGCACACGAAAACAAGGATCATTACAATAGAAATAAAACAAATACAGTCAAAATAAAAACAAAACATTAATAATGGATTTTATAAAAGAGAAAGCAGCATGGAGCATTTTTTCTTATGATCTACCGGGTGCTCATAAGGACGCTCGAGGGGTTAACATTGTTACAGGAAGTTATAAAATGTGCGACAAACCGACTGACAGGCATTCTATTCAGTATATTTTGGTCAAGTATTAAAAAAATTGGCACTTAATTGTATCATTACATTAAATATGAATTGAATACTTTTTCAATATTTATAATGGAGTCTAAAGTTACAAAATTAGACTAGACACGTAATAGTATTGGGCATATCTTTACATATCTTTGCATTCATATAAAATATTAATTTGGGTTTTACATTTACAGAGTATTAACCGAAAAATTAATAAATCAAAAGAAGCAATGTAGAATCTATCCGTGGAAAATAATAATTTAACGTAACTTACCCAATTTAATATTTTTCGGACTTGGTCGACTAGTTTCGAGGGCGAAAGGAACCCTTAGCTAGTGATGCACACAGGCCAACCACTACACTCGTATCGGATCACCTGATGGTAAGCAATTAACACCGCTCATGGACACCGGTACTACTAATAGAGTTACAAGTGCGTTGCCCGCTTTCAACAAAGGAGTTCGCTCATGCGTCAAACTTTGTTAATAAAGATATCGCCCAAAATATTAGCTACAAGTAAAACCTAGATAATACACAGTATGCTACATCTTTGGTACTTAAATTCTAAGCTCCCTGTAGATACATCGT